CATTCACTCGTTCTCTGAGAGCAAATCAACCAAACCGTGTTTTCAGACGGAGCGGACCTTTCCGGTGAGAGCAGATAACTCGTCTCCTCCGATCACCTTCACACAGTTGGTCGACTGATCGTTCTGAACACAGAGAGAACGGAGCACTCAGACATTCTTCTACACCCCGACATCAGAGCAGGGTTTATGAGTGGATGGATGGATGGATAACTAGAGAAAGAAAGAATGGATGGAGGAACTCTCCATCTGAACCCTGGCCCTCACCGAGTAGCTCTTGAGCCGGATGAAGTCGACGCTGAGCGGCACGGACGAGTGCTCGCTGTTCTGGTTCAGGGTTTTGATGAAGTCCATCAGGTCGGCGAAGAACTTGTAGCCTCCCTTCAACACACACAGCGCCACCATGTGATGGCCGCCCATGTCCCGCACGATGTCCCGCGCCAAGCGCTCCGTCCTCAGGAGACACAGAGAGAGACATCAGCAGCAGCTTTCTTTCACTGCGTTTATGTGGCAGAACAGCGGTGATGATGTGGAAACAGAATAGTCCCAAAAGAGGAACAGGAAACGCATCACCAGCGTTCACTCTCTGCTCTAGCGCCATCCACGATCTGACTAAACCTTAGAACCCAATCTGAGCATCTTCCACTTCTGCTTAAACTCGGAGCGCAGCTCCATCGCCGGAGGAACCGTAGAAGAGCTCGGCTGTAGGTTCAGCTCAGAGGTGATGCACTTCCTGTCTGAAACGACACACTTCCTGTCTCCCCTCTGCCAGCGAACACATTACGGAGACAGAAGCCCTTGTGCTGAACCTAATCTCGGTCAAGAGGAGATGGTTATAGAGAGGAAGAGGAGGCGCAGGCTTCTCGTTCGGCTCTAATGCGATTAATTGCAGCCTCCGGAGGGAAACACGGAGCTCTTTCAGCTCCCGGGGCTTTTCAGGACCCGTCCGGAGCACATTAGGCTTTTAATGAGGAAAACAGACAGACGCTGCTGTGGAAGAATAGCTTTCATTCATCAGTCGCTCTGCGCTCGTGATTGTGTCGAGTGTGAGGATGCTGCTGGAGGAGGTGCACCTCCAGGAGAGCACCCGAGGATCGATCCACACCTGTCTCTGATGAGGCCGCTGGGGATGATGACGCTGTCCAGATCCTCCTCGTAGTGTTTGGGGACGCAGAAGAGGCTCAGCTCGTGTCCTCGGCTCTCGTCTGAAATCTGAAACACAACGATTCAGAAGATTTCAGCTCCATCCTCGCGCTTCTAGCTTTGCACCAGGTTTTACATCGGCCTCTGAACCTGCAGGAACCGCCTCGCGCTGGTGAACCGTTTGGTACATCATCACGGTGATCCTTTATTCCGCTGATGTAGAAAAGTATGTTTGAGACGATTTAAATGAAGATCGGAGTGCGTGACACGGAGTCTCCGGAAAGGAGCACAGTTATTCACAGAAGCGTGATGAACCGTGAGACCGCCGCGTGCACGGCTTATTAAACAAGCGTGCAACCAATTGAAACCACTAATAAAGTCACATGACACACACACACACAGATACACGATTGGTTGAAATAATAGTGTAACATGTGAAACTGAGAGCACTTTAAAAGTAAAATCTGACACGATGCCAATGTTTCCAGAGGTCGGTTCCATAAAGACAGAGCATTGTTTAACATTCAAACAGTTTCTTCATTTCCCGGTGAATTAAGGGAAGCAGATTAATCAAGGGTTTGTCTGCGTGGAGCACCGGGACATAGCATTGGTAAAATCACCATAAAAGCACTGGCGAACCCGGCGATGATTGACAGGCTTGTTGCTAGGCAACTGAGCAGCATTCACATATTCTGCAGGACACTCAAAGCACGTGTTCTCCAGCCTGTTTTTGCAGAATCCAGAGTAACCTACGCTGACATCTCCGGATATAGAGTCTATAAGCGTAACAATTATATCTTTGTACATCTACACCCCTCACAGTAATCCAGGGACACTGGGAGAGACTCAGTCACCGTCAGACAACCTCTGCTGGTTTCTCTTCAGAGAGGTTAGGAGGTCCCCAGGGTCAGCTTTGGTGGAGGAGGTGCAGCAGTCTGGGCAGCCATCACCTGTCGGTGCAAAACTAATGTGGACCCCCCCAACGTTCTGTTCATGGATGATGCTGCTGCTGCTGCTCCACCACATCGTGGCACAACAGAGAGAGCTTGACTTCTTATGGTACGGCCCCTGAGCTGAACCCCACAGAGCAGGTCTGGGACCAGTTGAGTCTGCATGATTGTAGCCCACCCCCAAACGACCTGCAGAACTGGTGGAAGAGGGGAACGCATCGCCTCAGAACATCATCACGAGACGCCGCTGGGAACCTGACCGCTGCGGAAAACAGCGGAAACACCGGTACGGACGCGGTCAGTTTTGGTTCTTTGGGGCTTCCCTTGCTATTTGAGGTGTAACAAATTCAACTGAAAATGAAACAATGAAAATTCTATTTTTTTTCTCACCATTAGCAACATCAAATAGAACTTTGACTTGTTTCTTTACAATTCAGAATTTCTTTAAAGTGATTGAGAGTCGTGTGGTTTCATGTTCAATGGGTGGAGGAATGGAGAGAACACATCTGGATTCTCCTTGACTTCCACTTTCTCTCTTTATTCTTTTAGTTTGGTGTTTATGGAAGTTTGCTTTTCATCATTTGTTTGCAATACCTGGTCACAATAAAGACGACTGGCATGTACAGTAGTAATTGTACTGAGCATGAAATAAAAGTGGAAATATTAATGTTACCCGAAGCCAAGGCTGTTTTAAAGGAGACCGACGCTTGCAGCACATTTTATCTTTACAGACGCTTCCAAACGAACGGTTTGGCTACAGAAACTCAAGCAGGTTTCAAGGATAAGGAATCGCAGATATAAAAGACATTTTACAAATGTAAAAATAAAGATTCGAGACTCTTTCAGAACCTGTCAGACGCCAGAGCGCGGGAAATTCTGAGGCGAATTATTCCGTCTTTCAAACTCAAACAATCCGGATTTAACGGCATCAGTTATTTATTTCCCGGTTTCATTAAAGTGCTGTCCGTTAATCCCCGGCGTCACCGTAACAACAGCATACACCGGGGGTACGCGACCAGCGGCGTGCGTCACGTCACTTCCGACCGTTAATCCGGTATTTAAAAATAAAATGTGAACGGGGGTGATTCAGATCTGTCGGAACTAAACTCGGATTCATCTTACCTCCAGAAACGAAGCCATGATTCCCGGTGTCTGTCTCCGTGCTCGACTCCCCCAAGCACCGGACTGAGAGCTCTCCGTCTTTCCGTTAACGTCGCGTCTGCTGCGCGTCAAGATAACGCGCCGCTTCATGTGACGTCATAATCCGCAAGAATCTGATTAACCAGCCACGACCTGTTTAATGACGAGCTCGACAGGAACTCCCATCGATATTTCAAAAGTTAATAATCCCACCTCAGGGAGAACATGTCTGCATTATTAATATTATTATTATTAATATTATTATAAATGATGAAAACAAATAATTTAACCATTGCTTTCTCTAAATGTGTGCTTGACTCAAACGTTTGATGTGCGAGATGAACATCCCATCATTGAACCTCAATTGTACATAAACCCGAAGTAAAAACATATATTACTGTTATTTCTGTCTGTGGAAGGAGAGGGGGAAGCGTCCGGGGTTCTCCCTCCCTCCCTCTCTCTCTCTCTCTCTCCCTCTCTCTCTCTCTCTCTCTCTGTCTCTCTCTCTCTCTCTCTCTCACTGGCTGCTGAGAAGTGATAAGAGCAGGATGACGTCAGATGGTTCCCATCATCAGACAGAACCAAACACCTCCGGCTGGAGCTCTCCAGAATAAAGATAGAGAACCTTTTAATGGCAACTGTGATGCTGACGAGGGTTTGGGATAATCCTCAATCAACATTAGAATTTGTAATCATTTGGACGGTGAAACTGAAACACTGTTCAGTATAGAGCATGCTTCTTTACTTACTTTATAATGACAATGTGAAATTTGCTGTTTCAGTTTCAGCGTGCAGATCAACAACTACTTAAAGCTTAGAATTGATTTATTTGTCATCCATTACTAGTAACAAAACCAACAGCAGAACAAAGCAGAAGTTCCCGTTTTAAAACTGAATTTATTTTCTTCTTTTCATATCTCTTGTATCCTACAAAGGAATAAATGTGTTCTTTATTTTATCTTAAGAAATGATACATTTCTTTAGATCTGGAGTGAGTCTGACACAAATAAGGTACAGTTTGGTGTGTTTTCTATTGAACAGCAAATAAAGTTCACTCCCCAAACGAACGCCAGTAATCTTCATTTTTGTAACAGAGCGATGGAAGGAAACCATCAGGTTCACAAGAGCTAAACAGGAAGTACAGTACTGCAGAAGAACCCGATCACTTGGAAAATCGTTCAAATGTACATGGTACATTCGCAAATTCAGTCGTACAAAAATACTGTTATAATGTGACTTCTACAAAGAGCGCGCTCACTGTAAGTCGCACAGGAACAGCACACGCCACTATTTACAGCGCTATGTTCAGAGCAAGAGTCAGCGCTCAAGGCAAGAGGAGGAGAAGGAGGAGAGGAGCACCCATGACTCTGCACGAGAACCAAGATCGGACGACGTGACAGACACAGAAGAAAAGAGAGAAATGTTCCAGAAGGAGCTCAGACGCAGAACTCTACGGAATAAATCATGTTAGCATCAGTTAGGAGACAATTTGGGGAACGTTCCTCTGGTCTCACCGATGACGCGAAACCGTTTTCAGCAAAAAGAGTCAGCGACAGCTCCATCAGAACCCCCACACAGAGCTGCCGGGGCCATGGCACACCTGCCTACTGATCCATACGGGAGTTCAGCGCCTAGATTAAGTACTAGCGCCATCTAGAACCTGATGTGTGTGTGTGTGTGTCGGAGTCTTCCTTCACAGTGGGGGTTCTAGTGCTTGATCTCAACATCTCACTTTTATCCAAAGCGACTTACATTTTAAGGGAAGCACAGTTCCCTTGGGGTTTGAACCCATGACTTTTGCGTCGCTAGCGCAATGCTCTCCCAGCTAAGCCTCAGCAGATGTACGTCCAGGTCTCAACAGAACAAAAGTATTTCATAGATGTGTTAGAATCTCCAGAGCTGCTGCTAACATGAGGATCTTCCTGGATGAAGGTAATTACAGAAACGGAAACAGCGCTGCGATCAACCCGAAGCACAAACGTTTGAACTGCGTCAAAGCTAGAACAACAAAAGTCACATTTTCACTTGCAAAAATAAAAGTGAGGTCAACCGATATGTCCTCCTTGTCGATTAATTACCTTTATTTCTTTATGTCTGCATTTCCAGGGCTCTCGGATGTTGTGTAAAAGCGCCCTCTGGAGGACGGAGAGTGTATGTGACGTTAATTCTATTTAATTGTAACATCGGCAAACGAATCCATCATCAGTTGACCTCCATTAAAACACTGAGAGAGAGCTGGCAAACATAAAGAGCATGAGAGATGGTAAATAACAGACATTCAGACATGTATAAAACATCATCTTGGCTCATAAAAATAGGCTATATATATATATATATATATATGTATATATATATATCCAGAAACGAGACACTATAGATTAACCAACACTTGTGTGATTTTTAGAAAAGCTTCACGACTATCAAAAGCCTCGACAGCTTTGTACAAAGACACACGGGTTACAAAGCTAAAGGGAATCTCGGAAGGAAACCCCCTAAAGTGCTAATGTTACAAATTCATTGACAATATCTCAGCGGCAACAGAGGCGTGAGTCACCCGTCCTGCAAACTACACCGAATAAAGGGAGAATTCGATATCGAGTTTTCGATATCAGGGACTCTTCTCACTTTCCATTTTTGGTCCAAGATAAGTTTTTGTTTTGTTTTTTTTCATGTGAAATTTTAATAAATTAGTCTTTCAGGTGATTTTAGGTTTGGAACAAGTAACAGAATCTTCATTTTCACGTGAACCGTCCCTTTGCCGTACGGAATAACTGGAGAGGTCAAGAACACAATGCAGAGCATCAAAGTGCCTGAATATTAATGGCTTCACGGGTCACATGATATGTTAATAACGTGCGGAACCCGAACCTCAGTGACGTGGACCTGACCCGTCCGTTTGGGGGAAAGAGGCAGAGCGACACGTCCGGCGCCTCTTTTAGCAAAAGTAACATCTGACGCTGTTTTCGAGCAGTAACTTCAAACCCTTTAGAAGAGAACACGTAACAAAGCAACGCAACCCCACACAGCAAACGCTCTCGGCAACCGCCAGACTTCTCTCGAGCAGGTTCTGATGGTACGGCACGGGTTCACGACGACCACCAGGGGCCGGGATGAACACATCCGTTAACGAGTCAAGCTCCCCTTTCCACGAAAAACAGGCAACGAGCTGCTGATTCTGCGCATTAAATAAAAGCTGCACTTTCTTAATGAAAACAATCGGAAATCTGGAATAATAAAAAAAAAAACATACCCGCAGCATTACTACATTTTGTGCTCATTTAAAAAAAAAGTATACAAGCTGCGATATCAGAACTCTGCTAATTAATTCAAACTGTGTATGAGCTGCACAGTCTATTCATATAAATATTAAATGAACTGCTAGATCAGAATTCTGCAAAATAATAAAAATGTAAATGCGCTGTGAGAATTTGTGAGATTAAAAATGTTTACGCGCCGTCATCGGATTCGTGCCAATGTTAAAAAAGTAAACGCCAGACGGTTGTAATTACTAAAAAGCATCACGAGAATACGAAAGCAGCAGCCGGACGCGATCTGGAAGCATTTAGTCCAGGCTCCACGCCATCCACATCTGGCCCCTAGGGGTCACACTTCCAACAACAGTGTTAATATTTTCAACAATCATGAATATTAGAATATTGTCTAAGAAATTACTAAATAAGAGCTGAATCGTAATTAAGGAATTGCTTATTGATTTTCAATGTTACTTTCGGTGATCACCGGTACCGTACCATCCACCCTGCCCTGTTTCCTTCTGCTGAAAACACAATAAAATGTTAAATATACGTCGGGTTTGTTGCACTTGTGTGTGAGGGCAGTAGAGGCCAATAGGAGAATGGTTTGGGAGAGCGGTCCGTGTGCTCCTCAGTGGCGTCGGTGCTCTACCTCAGTGCAGACGGTTCAGTCAAGCGAGTCACCTCACTGGTTCAGTTGCTCCTGTAGGTGTTCCAGAAGCTCGTTCTGGTCCAGCAAGCTCTGGATCTGAGCGCTGGTCTGGGTCTGGTCCAAAAGGCTCTGGATTTGTGCACTGGTCTGAAGCGGGTTCTGGTCCAGTAAGCTCTGGATCTGGCTCTGATCTGGAGCAGAGTGGCCCATGGAAACCAGCTGATCCGGCAACGCTGGTCCCGGAGGGTTTATCAACGCTCCACATTCTAGAAAGAGACAGGAAGCGCTGGATATATTTCAAAATAAATGTATTTTCACTAAAATTGAGAATCAGACGCTGTTTTACGGGGACTGGGCTGGTTTGAGCCGATTTCAGCTGGTCTCTCTGGTGACAGAACAGAATTCTTAAACCAGTGTTCATGAGGTCCTCTAAGAGTTTTTTTTCTGCTGAGAGAGATTGAGTCAGTCGTCACACACTCCACATCAATCTGGAAAAGACTGAAACGGTTTAGTGGCCAATGCTTCAGGGGTCAGCCATTGCTGAGCGTCACGCTGAGATCCCAACAGAGAACCAGCTGAAACCAGCAGAAACCAGCTGCTGGTCTTCAAGACATTCCTAATCTGCACTGAAGCTTTAATCTGGAACTGGTTCCACTCACCATTTGGAATCTCAAACAGGAACAGACCGGCTTGTCCGGCTTGTCCATGCTGGCTGAGGGTTCCCCCAATGGCAGTCTGAAAGAGCTGGGGTTGTGGCTGCTGCGGGGTGGAGGACGTGTTGCTCTGGAGCCCTGCCACGCCGCCCTGTCCGCTAAAGATGACGGCCGCTGAGGCGGTCTGGGGTAGCTCCGGAGCACTCACACCACTCTGGAGGGACGACAGTGCTGACGGCGCCAGGTAAATGTTGACGGAAGGTTGGTCCACCGGAGCGATGCTGGTGCCACTGGGAACAACCTGCATAGGCTGCTGGTCCTGGAAAAGGTCGGGCCGGGTCGACGCGGCGGACGCAACGGAGCTTTGTTCCTGGAACGACATGGGCTCCGACGGGTCCTGCTGAGGGACATTCACCACGCCGGTGGGCGTGAAGATATGCGAGGAGCTCTGGCTCTGCTGGGAGGCGGGGAGAGCGGCCTGGTTCGAGGCGCTCTCCGCTGCGATGTTGTCGGCGCTGGGAACCACTTGCATCGGCTGCTGCTCCTGGAAGATGTTGTCCTGGAGGCGGTCGCTGGCGAGGGGACCGTGAGTCTGGCCACTGAAGAGCAGAGCTTGGGGAAGGTCATGAGTATTGATGGAGGTGGTGCAGAACAAAAGTCCTGTCTGCGGTTGCTGCTGAGCTTGGTTTGGAGAGATGCTGATGCTCGGGAAGAGAGAAGCTTGCTGAGGAGAAGCCAAAGGCTGGGGCTGAGACTCCATCGGAGTGGAGAGCTGGGTTTGTCCTGGGAAAAGCGAGACCGTCTGGGGTTCGGCGGCGGAGGTCTGCATCGGTGCGAGGAAAGCGATCTGCTGCTGGCTCTGGCTGCCATCCGATGGCATCACAAACAAGCCCGCCGAGGGGGTCTGCTGCTCTGGAGGCAGATTGGGGCTCGTCAGCATGGTCATGGTGCCGGGGAACAAGGCCGTCTGCACCTGAGGCGGCTCTGAGCTTCCGAAGAGAACCGTGGGAGATGGTTGAGATTCAGTCATCGGGTTATGAGTCTGGAAGAGCGTCTGAGGAGGAGAAGGTTGAGATGAGGGCTGCTGGAGGAAACTCGGCGTCTGAATGGTCATCAAAGCGGCTGTCTGTTGGAAAAGCGCAGGCGGCTGCTGCTGCTGCTGCTGCTGCGGCTGGTTCTGGAGGAAGCTTTCGGAGGGCTGTGGCAGAGCGCTAGTCTGTGTGGAGCTCCGCTGCTCGCTAGCAAAGCTAGGTGTGCACTGCATTGGAATCTGCGTCTGCAAGAGCTCCGACTGGAACTGCTGCTTGAGGCTCTCCAGCACCTCCTGATGCTGAAGAGTTTCCAGGTTTTTCTGATGCTGTTGCTGCTGTTGGAGGTTGTCCAGCACTTTCTGGTGCTGTAGAGTCACGATGGAACTCTGCTGCTGAATGTTCTCCAGGACTTTCTGGTGCTGGTGCTGGTGCTGTAGATTCTCCAGGACCGCGTGCGTCTCCTGCTGCTGCTGGATACTCCCAAGAGCTTGATGCTGAAGGTTTTCCAACACCTTCTGGTGCTGCTGCAAGTTTTCAAGAACGGTCTGCTGATGCTGAAGATCAACCAGAGCCTTCTGCTGCTGCTGCTGAAGATTCTCCAGAATGTTCTGCTCCTGCTGCTGCTGCTGCTGGTTGGTGAGCGTCGCTTCGTTGCCACCCAGCCGTAAGCTGTTCATGTTCTCCTGCACGTGCTGCTGGAGGCTTTCCGCGGACGGACTGGGGCTGTACAGCACCGAATTCAGCTGCTGCTGCTGCTGCGCCTGGAGTTCCCTCACTGCTCGCTCCAACTGCGCGACACCGTCCTGGGGCAGAAGGTTCTGCACTTGTGGCCTTTGGGACGGAGGGTTTCGGGACTCCAGGCCCACCATTACCATCCCACTGCCGTCTGCACCGCTGTCCTCAGGAGACAAGGTTTCTGGGGTTTCCCTCAGGAACTGCTGAGGGACCTGAGGGGGGACGGGCTGCAGAACCGTCGCATCTTCAGACAAGGACACTTGGAAGGGTGCAGGGGAGGGAATGTCCTGCTTCTGCACGCTGGTGAGAGGTTCTTGGCTAGTAAAGATTTGAGACGGAGGCTGCTGGGGCTCCACGGGCTGGAGAGCTACAGGGCTTGGAAAGGACTTGGAGGCCGGAGGGAGGACTGTACTTATTTCCAAGATCTGCTGGGTTGAACCAAGGGCCTCGGCAGGCTGTGTGGTGAACAAAGAGCCAACAATCAGTTACACAAAAACAAATAACAACGCATTTCTC